TATACCAATAACATTTAACTGCTGAGGTTAAATGTATCAAATCTTGAAAGATAGCAAATTCTACTTTTATTTTTAATTGGTTTTGTTTAATGTTCATTTATTATACCTTCTGTTGTTTAGTTCAACTATGAATTTTTAGTTATATTTAAGCTCTAACTCATCTTCTATCTAGAGCATGCTGAGCTTGAATATGTATGTATTATGAAACTGACACAAGCTTCCACTAGTGGTGATGGTGGCATACTGGCGGATATTAATGTTGTTAAAGACTATATAGATTTAAGGTAATAGCTAGTCACATGGAATGTAACCTCATGGTCTAACCACTATATAAAAAGCCTTTCTTGATCTTAAAAATAGGTTAGTTCAGGAGATATAATAATTAAAAATTATTGCTCGATATTGTTCTTGATATTGAGAAGTGGTTTGATTTTGGAACACTGTATTATTCTCTGAGAAATTTGGTTTTTTTCTTCTTCTGTTTTTTTTTCCTAATTCCTTTGATTATTATTGAAATTTATGTTATATTATTTATTAACATTTGTACCTAGTCCTGACTAGGCACAGGTTTACTAATTCTTTTTTTGTTGGAAGTGATAAAAAAATTGTATTCTAGTTGTTTGGAAGTTTTATTTTGAATTTCTTTTATATTTCAATAAATTGTTTTTGTTTAAACTTAGTTGTAGTGGTATTTTGTTTAGTTTGTTACAGTCTAATGAAAACATATTTTATCAGACACTGGTGCTCAGTTTATAGTTAAACATTCATGAACATTATTTAACACTTTCTTAAAAATTTTAAATTAGAATAAAAATTAAAAGGTAAGAAATAAAACACACAAGTGATACAACATTATTGCTTGGCTTGATTTGGAAAAGGATGATATATATCAGTTTGAAATTCCTGGGTACAAGTTATTCAACTATGTTAGCTTATTTCAAAAAGAGGGGTGGTGGTATTTACGTTAAGGAAGAGGTATAGTCAATCAATCTAAAGGATATTAAAAGAGGTCAGTATGAACTAAAATCAGCATAGTATGGGTGTCTGTATGTAGATATAAGGATAGGAAGTTGATGTTAGAAAATTGTTGTAGGCTACCTGAACAAACTCAGATGTATGAGATGTTTTATAGGGAAATCAGAAATGCTTCTTATAAAGAAGTCCTGATTATTGGAGGCTTTAACTTTATATGTATAGACTGGAACTATATAATGTCAGGTAGTGAAGGTGATAGTTTCTTAGAGTTGCAGGATAAATAGTTTTTTCCTATTTTTTGAACAATTTTCAACTGCTTAGGGAACCATTTAGATATAATGCTATTTTGTATTGTATTTTATAATAACCACTGAGGAGGACATCATTCAAAAGATTGAAGTAGAAAATATTTTGGATGCAGTGATCATTGTATAATTAGTTTTGTATATTAAAATTAAGGTTACAAATATTATAATTCTAAACCTTAGAACATATATAATTTGATTCTTTGAAAGAGGCACTTTCTCAGGTAAATTAAAATAGGCTGTTAAACAGTGATGTTTGTCTTGAGTGGGAAATCTTTAGGTACAATCTACAATACAAAGCAACTATTGAACTGATTGACAAACTGTTGACAAAATATTTTAATGCTTACAGTAAAGACATTTTCAAGTATGTTAAAGAGCAAATAGAATGTTATAATGGGCCTATAAAATATAACAATGGGAGGGTTGTGTTTGATGATTACAAGATGGCTGTGTATCTGAATGTTTTTTCTCATAAGTTTTTACTAGTGAAGATGTAGGCTGGATCCCACAAGTAGAGGTTCCTGCAGAAGAGTATCCAATATCCTTGAATGAAGTAGCCAGAGCTAGTTAGATCGAAGACTGGAAAATTTAAAGAAGATAAGGCACATGGGCTAGAAAATATGTATCTTAGGATAATTAAAAAAAACAAAAAAACAGATTTATGGACCATTAAATTTAATTTTTAATGGATCCATTAAAAGTGATGAAGTGCAAAATGAAGATTAGTCATTTGTTGAGCTGGGGCATGCTGGACTAACACCTGGTAAATGCCTTTTAAACTTAGTAAAATTATACATACTTGTTGTCACAACATTAATTATGTTTATAGTCTTTCTAGGGAAACTAAGTAAAGTTGATAAAAAAGACCTTGGCATAGCTATTCCAAAATCTCGTAAAGTCTTCCAGGCAATGTATGTTAACTAGTAATAAAGTGAATAAGGATTTATGCTCTATGTATAAAAATATTGAGTCCAAGATAAAGGTCATGTTCACTCAGTAAGATAGTGGTTAGGCTTTATTTTAAATATTGTGTTCAGTTTTTATCTCCATATTTAGGAAAGGATGTGGCATTGTTGGAGAGGGTTCAAAGATAGCTAGTATACTACTAGGTTTGGAAGGATTATGATATGAACAAAAGTTGGCATTTTTGCCATGTTTTTGCTGGAGTGGAGTAGGGTTTGGGGGATGGAGAAAGTAAGAACAAAGAAAACAGGTTTAGGATATGGAAAACTGACATGATTCCAGTTAAGGCATTGCTACTTTTCTACTAGAGTTTTCAACCAATGAATAGTTTGCTACAATACTGAAAGAGTTGAAGAGGAGATTAGATGAGTATCTTAAAGACCTGGATTGAATGTGGTTTACAGTCGGGTGGTAATAGAAAATAGGATAGCCTAGAAGAGATAAATGGCTCCCTGTTATTCCTTGGCAATGAAATGAAAAGCTAGTAATTAAGAGGTTTGTTAATAAAAGCATTCAATGCCTCTTTGTCACACACACTGTACTGTAATTATAACAAAGACAATAAAAGTGTGGGATATTCCAGTGTACTAAAGAATGATGAAATGAATAATACATCTACCTAAATGTACATGTAGGAGTCTTTCATAGTCTCCTGAATTTTAGTTGAAATTAGAAGAATGACTCGTCAATCCATGATTTTTCATATCGCTATGCCACTATTATTTTTGATGTCACCACTGTCAGAAATTATCATGCATCTAGATCTGCCTGATAACATCTCAAATGAGAAAACATCTACAACAAGCCAATGTCTGTGATAAAACAACACTTATGTATATGAGGAGATGCTACAAAAAAGCAATGCTATGATAAGGCAACATTCAAAATGCGACTCTAAAGCTCCACCATATAAACTATATGATTATATTCTAAGAACAAAATTTTGTTGAGACTTTTATTGTGGTATGTAAATATACCATGCATTTCTACCTTCTTATACAATAAAGTGTTTATTCTGAATTTATCCTTCTGTATATTTGTGCAGGTTTCACATAATACTTGATAAAGAAAGTTTTAAAGGTCATCCTTTTCTATCTGCCTTTGTACCTTTGTTATTCTGTAAGACATAATCCCTGTTCTCTCCATGGAAGACACTGTTGTAATAGTGCACACCGTGTAAAGATGTTGACAGCTAGTATCCTTCAATGATAGTTCAGGTTGTATCTTGAGGTTACAGCCTCCTCTCTGTTTCTCTGAGAATGATCAGTCATGTTGGTAGAACTAGTTGGTCTAGGTAAGTATGATGTTTCTTGCAAAGTAATAAACATTATATTTAATTCTTTCAATGTGGAATATGTACAATGCACCTGTATTGAGAATAATACAAGTGCAATACATACAATAACTCCACATTTTGTTAAAAGGTTACTATTTTTTGTACATAAAGTATGAGATTATTTTAATTAAGTATTACTGCTGAAAATTTATTTATGTATTGTAGGTATTTTCACTCAGACTCTGAATAGTTTGAGTGCAAGGTGATTTTCATGTTAAGTATAAATATATTTTTTCACATGTTACACTTTTCAAATTTCATTTGCATAAACTCTAGAAACTCCTAAATGAACAGTCAAAGTATTTTTAAGGTAAATGTATATATTATATTTTCCATTAGCTCTACCATATCACTAAATATAGCTGTTATCATCAATGTACAGTGCAATTAAATATTTAAAATTAAGAAATAAAAAAATTTACATATCTCTTAGTTTTTGTCGAATACCCTTAAAAGGTTTTCTTTTTGTTATATTTGTAATTTCACATATTTGCTTTTTATAGTTTATTTTTGATGTTTTATTTTCCTTTCTTGTCTTTTACCATTTATTATTCATTCCAACACATATCAGTGTGTGTTTCACGAGCATGTTATACCATTATCATCATCATCATATATATATATATATCTTTATATATGCAAGCCTTCAGCAAAATCTTCTTGCACTCGCACACTAACTTAATTAACCCTTGTGAACCAAGGTGAAGTTTGGGTTATATTAAAAATGTATTAAAACTTTCAAATATGCCTTTTGAAACATAAATAATACATAATTAACTAAAATATAGAAGTAAAACTTAAATAAAATCTAATTGTCTATATAACTAATATGTATCTAGGTGAGAAATAACTGTAAGTGCTATCAAGGACAAAGCAACAAACAGTACTATTAGCAGTTAGACATATTTGATAACAAACACTGAGTGTGCATTTTGAAATAACCATTGGGATATTATAACTTAAAATGAGCTCTTTCTGTTGGTTATGAACATTTATGTCAAATATATATATGTGGCTTGTAAATACCAGGTCTTAAGTATAGAAGGTGGACATGGCTCTTGTCAGGCGATGGCAAAATTTATTCTTGTGTTTACTGAATTGATCCAAAGAAATTTGAAACAAGTACATGTAAGTAGTGCAATAAGCGTAGTTTGTGTGTCTAGACATACATGTTCAGTGTAGATGTGTATTGTTAAAAATTGTCTCTGTAATTCAAGTTACAAGTTACAGAGCCCAAAAGTTAAGGTTTGTGAATGCTCAAGTTATTTATTTTTAAAGGTTTTTTTTGAAATAAAGGAATTAAAAGTATGAATTATAATGTACATTATAATGCTAATTTCAATGACAAATTGATAGTAGAGTTATTTAATTACATTTTGAATGTATCTCGTAAAACCTCATAACATGTGCAGAAAAGAGTACTCGTATGGAAAGGTTTAATATTCTGATTGAATCTCCTGTTACCTTGTGGACCTGTACCATTGCTCTTAAAGGTAATTTAGTTTGACCTGAGCATACTACAGTATTTTATCTTGTATATCCCCAAAATCTAAGTGTTGCTGTTTCCTGTGATGGTATTTTATAACTTTCATGTGAAGTGTATAATTTTTTGACCAACTGTTGGTGTCTTACTTACAATTTGTTTTATACTATGTAATGAGTAGCTATCATGCTTAACCCTAGAATGTTTACCAGTGGGTTCCACATGGCCTTCATCCGGTTTTTTAACATGTATGCTTGTGAGTACATGATTTTTTTTAATATGGAGCCCATAATAAGCAAAAACATACGAGTCACACAAAAGCGTTAACCAATAATACCATCATTGTCCATCAGTATTGTAATTAACCCCACCAAATACTTCTGTGTGTATTTTACTTAGTTATTTGTACTAAATGTTATAACAGGCAAAAGCACCAAATTTTTCAGTATGATAGTTTATGGATCTTGCCAGTAGTGGATTGTATAAAAACAATTTTGTAATTTATGTTCCAAAACATACTAACCCTCTCTCACACTACAAATATTACTTGACTGCTAAGGTTTCCTTCCTTTTCCCATCTAAGCATCGGACTGAATTTTTCTCGCTTGCTCCAGTCTTTTATTCTTCACTTAAATGCCATTGGCAATATCTGTCTCTCCATCTATGTCAATATGCCCTCTGTCCTGGTACTGTATATAAGCACCTAATTCAGATAATATTATCACTTTTTCTCAACACAGCATTCATTATTGGGTTTCTGCTATGACTGTTGGAGATACTTTGAATGTTCTTCATGCTATCTAGTTGATTTTCTTGAAATTGTTTTTTCTTTTCATTTGACAGGCAGATACATGCCATGAATTCTTGGATTATTATTTCTGGCATGGAGGCAATTCAGGCAATTCTCCTATTCTATCTCTGATATCTAGTGTGCTCATCAATTGGGGAGGGGGGAGAGATTTACTCTCAATTGAGATTGTCAGTGCCCTTATTCATAGTGTGATATAGAGATATATTCAATTTGGTGGTGTTCTTCCAGAGGGCTCTGAGGCTGCATTTGAGAGTGATTCTGGAGAAAATATAGTTTCAGTTTTTTTTCTGCACTTTTTCTTTATTTTGTTAGCTTCTGAGGAGACCACTTTGGGAGCAGCCACCTCAGGGTTCTTGGTCCATCGAGTGTGTGATGTTTTGGGTCTTTCCCCAGTTGCTTTTAAGCTAGAACCTTCCTTGATGGCTGAAAGGTCTGGGAGTGAATACTTAGTTCTCTCTCCATCCACTTATATTGTGGTTCATGCAGGGAGGTTTACTGCTCAGTTACATGAAGAAACAGCTGTGTCTTGTCCACCACATTTGTCGCAACTACATGATTTATCCTACTACCACCAGATGGATGCATATTCAGACTCACAAAGAATACACCAGCTCCTGGAAATTTGGGATTCTAGAACATAGTCTGTAGTCAACATGAATAGATCACAATTTTCTAAGTTTTGTCTCCTCCAATGTATGGTGCTAAATTATTTATTATTCTTCCAACCTTTGTTGGAAGACTCAAAATCACCACATCCGTTTGATGATGAGTTAGGACCATTGTTAGCATGCACAATGATTCAATTGTCAGCTTCTGTTGTTAGCATCTTGACTTTCCTTGGTTCCTACAGGGGGTCATAGTTTAGCCCCTATTTGAGGGTCCTGACCCCAGACATCTGACCCTCAGTACATTGGAACCCAGAATAGATTCTGTTCATACCCAAAATGTTCCTCTGCTTGGTTGGAATGCAGCCAGTGGTGGTGGTGACTATTGTATGGGGTCTGTGGGGGCTCAGCACTGAGAATTTCTGGTCATGTGGAAAATATATTCACAATCAAATCTTTAGTAAAAATACTTTATTAAAAAATCTGATTTTTTGTGGACAAAAGACTTGTAATGTTTACTAGAAGACTACCAAATTTGGTGAAGACACACATACTACATTAAAAGTTATAGTATAAATACGTATGCAGATGTGTATAGGAACTAGTGTATTTTATCCTGAGCCCATTGCAATAGGGTTAAACCTGGAGGTGGATTAACTATCTCCTCCAGACAGGATTCTTCCTGTGCAATGGTTGCTCCATCCTCAGTATTTTGTTGGATTCATTCCCAGTTGGGTATGCCATTGGCCGATGATTTTGTTACTCAGAATACCAAACTTCCTATCTTGTGACACCTAATACCTCATCCAGCTTCTCTAGCTATGGATGCTCTCAGCCAGGTCTGGTTTTGTCTCTTTCTGTATGTTTACCTTATTCATCACCTTCTCCCACCTGTCTTGGTGTTGATTTGTGACACTCACAGTTGGGTACCTTTCGTAGTACCTTTTGGCTTGCTCAATCTCTAATTTTTCTTCATCATAACTAGCATCCACAGCACCTCTTCTCTCATCTTGGTCATTCTTGCTCTAACCTCATATGACTTTTTCCTGGGAGTGTTGTCCTTTTGTCTTTATGTGTGAAATTTGTTTGTTCTCTTGCTTACCAATCAGGCTTCTCTGACCACACAACCCTTCTTTTATCCCATTCATGTTGCCCTTCAACTCTCTCTGTCTACCAATGAATGTGGTGAATTTTTCACTGCTGGTCTAACTGCCACCAAGCCACCCTTCTGTTGCTCAACCTTCTTTATCTGGTTGTTCAACTAAGGATTTTTATTTTCTGTTGTTGCAGATTATTGGGTGGCCTAGTTGAATGCCTTCCACCTTTTTTTACTTTTCCTTTTTTGTTCTTCTCTATTTGTTCTGGTCACTCTCATACACTTCCTTTACCCAACTGGAACCTTAATGTAGTTTTACATGCTCTTATCCAGGCCCCATTAGAACTTTTAGCCACTTACTGTTCATACCATCTCTCTCATAAAACCAAATTCCTTCATCTTTTCTCTTGTGGTCATTGCAAATGTTATCTTCATGTATTAGATGCCTCCTGTACTTTGTTTCATAGATATTTCTTGATTTTATTGCCTGACTGCTTGTTACTTCTGAAACATGGGTGACTCAGGAGTGAGATCATAACTTTTATCCCATATCTCTTCTATCATTCTCAGCCCTCCATGATTGTAGTGACCATTATCTTTTTTTGTGTCCAGCTCAGGCTGCCAGGTTTTACTTGGTATGCATGGCTATATTTCAGGTCACTCAGTGGCGAGTGTTGCCTGGTCAGATATGCTTTCCTGAAAATAGATTTCTGATAGATACTTGCCTCTTCTGACACACTTCCCACTCTCTCTCCACACTTCTGGTGTTCTGCTTCTTGTGGACCTAATCTCTAGGAGATTATGTTGTGTTCCAATTGGTGGAGGGTTGTCGCATGCTCGTATGCATGCTAAATGACCAGCTTGAACTTATGGGGTATAAAGGCTTGTGTATCAAGAGAGAAAATTTCTTTTCAAAGCAGTAGAGGGCAGTGGAAGATCCAGAAAAGCTATTGCGTGCTCGAGCAGAGTTAAATATCTATCAGAAATCTATTTTTAGTGTAAGAAAATGACAACATCTCACAGTTCCATCTCCTTCAAGAAATTGCTTCCTTCTATTTGCTATTCCACAGTCTACTCACCATCTTTAATGGGTAAGTATCACTTTTTCTTTCCTTGTCTGTTTATACTGCTTCCCCATTTTCTTCTCAAAACCCATCCAGTGACAGGTGTTGCCTCCCAGGGTATACTTACTTCCCTAAACCAATATCAAGTCAGGGGTAATGGAAAGCTTTAAACATATCCACCCTGGCTCCTAAAGTGCCCACTGTTGAGATGGAGTTTTCTGCAAGACCACTTTGATGGTGTGTATGTGTGTGTATATATATATATATATACACACACACACATACACACAAGTATTTCTTTCTCCATTCCAGACCATAACTTCCATGTACTATCATGGAAAAGGCGAGTACTGGAGAAGTGTCTGCCCACTTCCCTGGTTTGTGCATGTTGGCCTTTTAAATTAGGTTTCACAGTAATCCATTGCACATTCTTCAGTAAAAGTCCTCTGTGGTGATTAAGTCCATCAGATATGGGCATCTCTCTCTAGTGTCTCCCCAACACAATCTTCTCCTCCCTGGTCTTTCAGTGAAGCACAGGGGGACCCGTGCCACTTCCAGTTCTTAGTAACTGGGGTGGTTGACCTAGAGATTTTGTCAGTGGTTGTGTGAGAATATGAGTGTGCAGCACAGTACATTTGAGAAGTAGGATAAGGGTATTCATGTCAGTGTAGTACAGGTTGCCTTCTATTATATAATATGCCAATTTCCCAGTAGCTTGGCCAGCTGGATGGGGCAAAGTATTCTCCTCACATGACAATGAGGAACTTAGTCCCAATTCCTGTTTTAAGGTGAGTAAACACATACAAGATCATATAATCTGACCATTGCCTTAGCCATGCTACATCTCATGTCCAGCCAACCTGTTATGTGCAAATGCTTGCTTGGTCATGTCTTTTCCTTCCCATCTATGTGATACATTGGCTCATTGTGCCTTCATCTTTTCATATTTCCATCTGGGCAAAGAGTATACCCTGTATGAGGTGGATGTGGTCTCTCACAGGTGAAACCTCTCTAATAAGCTCCCACATTGGCATTCCATTTCAATCACTTTCTCTGAGGGGAGCCCACCTAGGTTTTCACAATTGCTCTTGCCACTCCACCACATCAATTTGGGATTCAAGCTACTGTGTGCAGAGAGGTAAATATATCATTTAGGAAGTTAACATTGTTTTTACCTGAAAATTTATTTCCGATAGATACCTATGCACATCATCCCACCCTTCCTCCCCACTACCAGTGCACATTATTCTTGCCTCGTCTAAGTGTGAAGTTTATTTTGAACGCTAGTTCTTTTGGGGATCTTCTGTGCATGGACTTGTCGCTTGATGACTATACCATGCACTAGCTCAGTTCACTTTATAACACATGTCTTAGGTGTGAGATAGGTATCTATTAAAAATACATTTGAGGTAAGAAAACTTTGACCGAACTACATGTATTCTAGACACTTCAGTGAAAATGGATAATTATTTTTAAAAGCTAGTACACATAAGATGAGAAAGTTTTGAACAAGTACAAATTACTAAAAGTAAATAGAATAGAAAACTTATGTTTGTGAGATTATTTGCATTACAAAAACTACATTAAACTATCATATTGCAATAATTTGATCTTTTACTTACAGGTAAATATCATGTACATCTTAGAAAAATATACATCCATATAAATGTGGGTAAGTGAATGTGTGTAAGAGTTGTGTTTCAACGTCACTCGTTTTAAAAGTACTACCTGTCATTGAGGTGCTGTCATGAATTCTAGTGACAGTGACGTTCAAGCTCGCCCTGATAAAGACATTGAAGAAAGTGAAAACAGAACTGTTAAATGTCAAGATAATGAAAGCATCTCTTCAGGTACTGAAGATATTAATCCTCTGAAAACTCTTACTAACACTGGCAGTTTTTGCAAGCCTTTTGATTCTGATAACACCAAAATAAAATGTGATGAAAAGATTATCTCTTGTAAAAACAATACCAGTGTGTTAAGCCAGGAAATAACTAGAAAGGAGCTTGGGATAAATGAATTCTGTGGAGGTGGTTCTCATGGTGACATTATCCATAAACAAGTTTTTACACGTGATCACTGGCCAGTTCTTTTAGTATCCAAAGATAAACATGGACAGAAGAAAAAACCTTATAGAAGTAAGTATTAGTATTGGTTTAAACATATATTTACTTAAAGCAAATATCTACTGTACATCTTATGTAATATACAATGTACATGATGAAGAATAATGTCAAAGTATTCATATACATCTAGTTCACTGCATTTTTTAAAAAGAAAACAATGAAGCCTTTACATGTTGTTGTTCTTGTCAATATCTAAGACTGACTGTTCTTATATACAGTACATGGAAAGGTTGAAAGTAATGATAAAAGTTATAGTATTTTAACTTTTCTGATCTCACCAAAAGTTTAACTTTATTTACTTTATAATACAGTGGACACTCCCTATTAACTCTATCAACATGGGCTCGGTCAATTTAACTGATCACGTGACCTCTTTGTACTCATTTAAGTCTGTATATCTTCACAAAATTTGGCAGTGTTTCAGTTAATATTATAAGTTTCACATACAAATAATCATATTTTTAGTAAAGTATTTTTGATAAAATAAAGTAAAGATTTGTCCATGAATATATATTGAGTATTTGTTTTAAATAGTCCGTGTGCAAAGTAATTTTCATGTTAAAATTAAAAATAGTTTTCCTCATCTCAAGAATCTCAAATTTCCTTCATGTAATCCCTAAAACCTCCTAAATTCATTTCAAAGTTTTTTTTTCAGTAAAACTTCATAGTTTATCTGTTATTTTCACTACCCTATCTCAAAACGTGATCGATCAATTTGACCGACCTCGTAACCACCAAAAGAAAAATTTTACTAAACCTAAATTAACCATTTTTTCTTTTTAAAATGACCTCAAATTGTAACATGAAACTACTTTTGTTTATCACAAGTAGCTCTAAGTTCTTAACAGTATACATCTATTTATAATTACATTTTATTGTTTTATTGCCCTTTAAACTATGGCTAACTACTATCCGGGCCATTATAAATTGTAAATCATTCGGGGAACATGCAGCTCACATTACGCTAATGAATTGCATTACCCACAAGCTGCTTGTGTGTGTGCCTCATGAAACATTTTTATTATAATATTATTATTATTTATTTTATCTAATTTAATCTTAACAAACCTAAAAGGATTCCTGTTTTTACATTTTATAATTATACATAAAGAATAAGTATGAAAAACAAGAAATAAAATATTTAACCAATCTTCTTTTTTCTTGCTGTCGGTTTTTGATTAGAGTTAACCTAATTTTTTATAGTAATGATAGTAATGCACTTAATAATTTGTATTTAATTGAATAATGTGCCAAATAATATAGACTAATAACATGCAAAAAGTAGACAAAGTCTTTTACCTCCCAAAATTTTTCTGGCTTTCTAACTATATGACAAGAGCCTTTACAAATTCATCCAAGCTAGTCATTAAGTTTCCCACAGGAACGGTGTTATTACTCTGAGTGAAATTGGCATCTGACTGTTCAGAACATAACGTTATACAATATGTCATTTGATAGATTAAAACCTTGACTTTCTATTGGTTATAGGAAATATATAATGAAACGTAAGAGAGAATTATCAACGAATTCTGAAGGAGAGGATGTGACAGATGGGTGTGGCAGGAGGGGTCTAATTTTCTGTTTGATAGCTCTGAAACAAACAAAATTGAAGACTGTAAAAATGATGTTTTTTCTGAGCAATAACAATTTTATAGAGAGTAATTTACATCTAATTTCTTAGTTTTTTTGAGGAGTGGTGGATAAAATAGGGATGATGACATGCTAAAAGAAAATGTGTCATGTGGGTCACACTATTGAAAATTCAGGATTTTTTCAATATTACCTTGTAGAATTAAGAACTTAAAAGTTGTATACTATTAAAATATGGATAATTAGCTAAGATTTTAAGCTATTCTAATTGGTATAACATAAACAAAAGTAGTCTAGTAAAATTTTAAAATGTAAGGCACTAAAACCTTGTGTCATGCACAGTAAAGGATACCTGTGGTGATAGGATTAATTATAAAATATTTGAATGTTGAATTGTAATGTTATGTGTGATATTTCTTTGCATATTGTACATCCAAACT